TCGGACACCGTGAGTGTTAAGTCTTCTTTCAGCTCCCCTTCGAACCAGGTAGCGATGTCGGTAGTGGAGCCGATGTAGAGCAGGTCGTCGACGTAGACGATGAGTAGGATATACTCTCTTCCCTTCTGTAGTCGGTACATCCCTTGGTCATGCGGCAGTTGTAGGAATCCGATTTTTGCGAGACGGCCGTGGAGATGCTGCTGCCAGAGCCGCGGGGCTTGCTTGATCCCGTATAGGGATTTTGTCAGTTGGCATATTTTCGTGGGGTCGTTGATGAATCCGTGGGGTTGTTCGACGAAAATCTCAGCGTCCACAGGTGCGTATAGGAACGCATTCGCGACGTCGATTTGGCGTAGTGGTAGTGTCTTCGTGGCCGCGACGGCGAGTAGGATGCGTAATGAGGTGTGCCGGGAGACTGGAGCGAAGGTTTCTGTGTAGTCGGTCCCGTATCGTTGATCGAAGCCTCGTACGACCCATCGAGCTTTGAATCGTTCGATGGAGCCGTCTGAGTTGGTCTTAATGCGGTATACCCATTTCCCCGAGAGGACGTTTTTTCCGTTGATGCTTGTTGCAGGTACCAGTTTCCATGTTTTCCGGTCTTGCAGAGCCTTTAACTCCTTTTCCATCGCTTCCTTCCATTTTGCCTTATGTTCCCCCCCCAGAGCCTGCGACAAGGTTGAAGGCTCTCGCGGAGAAGGCGGCGGCGGATGCTGGACGGAGACCCACAGGCCTAGAATCTGCAGTCCCGTGGGTGTGTGTCGAGGGGAATTTTCATTCCCGGAATAAGCTGCTTCGTCACCGTCTTCTGGGTCAGGTAAGAAGTTGGGACCGATGCGTTCTGAAACATTTGTGTCGACTGGGTGGGGTGTAATGTAACCTTGGTCAGCGAAGTGGTAAAAGGTGTCGAGGTTGTTGCTATCGAGAGGATTGTCTTCGTCGAGTGGAACAGGTACGGAACAGAATGGGAGTGGTCCGGCAGCTTCCGAGGCTTCAGGTACGTCTTCTTCTGCTGCGTCAGCTTCGGCAGCACGGTCGGCGAAGGAACGAAGTCCTGAGAAGCCGTCGGTGGGGTCTTGTGTGTTGGCAATGTTGTCCAGGTAATGCTGCAGCGTCAGTCGCTCGTAGAAAATAACATCACGGGATGCCACGGTATTTTTGTCTTGTATGTCGAGAATTTTCCACGCGTGAAAATGTTTTGCGATGCCGAGGTGTAGTCCCCACCTAGCTCGTTGTGTGAAGCGTCCTGCTCGGGCTGTGTGGGGTCTGTACTGTACCATGCAGCCGAAGACTCGAAGTAATTTTGTGCTGCCCCTTTTTCTTGTCCACAACAGGTGCGGTGATGCGTTGTTGGGAAGTGATGACGAGGACAGCAGGTTGTGCAGGTGAACGGCATGTGTCATCGCGTCTGGCCACAGTGTGGTGGGCAGCCTCATCCCCAGAAGCAGTTTTCGCATCGTCGTCTGCAAGGTCCGGTTCATGCGTTCTGCTACCCCCTGCTGCTGGTGAGCATAGGGCAGAGACACCAGGCGTCGGATTCCTCTTTCCGCCAGATAGGTCCTGAAGCGTTGTGACTGGTATTCCAGTGCACCGTCTGACTGGAAGCTCTTGAGCTTGGTTCCTGATTCTCGTTCGGCGATGGGAAGCCATGTGGTGAAGGCCTCGAAGGCTTGATCGCGCGTTTTGAGATTGAAGTGCCAAACGTATCTGGTTGCTGCGTCGATGAACGTGATGACGTAGTTGAAGTCGGCTTCGGTGTCTTCTCGAGGCATGTTTAAAATGTCGCTGTAGACCTTTTCCATCGGAGCGTAAGTAGGTGCGCTTGGGTTGTGATGAGATGGGAAAGGTTGATGAGGAAGATCTGCTTCGGGGCACGTGAAGCACCGTGCTCGTGGTCGTCGAAGTTCTTGGCCGTTCGTCGTTAGAAGGGCGTTGCGCTCTAACACCTCTGCTTGGATTGTTTGTAGTATCGTGCTGTTTGCAGGATGTCCGAGACGTTGGTGCCAGATGTCGTCGGAAGTGCGATGACCGGGCGAGCGGTGGTAGATGTCGGCGTTGGAGAAGAACGCGACGACTGAGGCGGGACTTCGACAAACTTCTCGTGTGATGGGCATAAGCTGGTCTGCTTCGGTTGGCGGTCCTCGGGTCGCTGGTGGTGGGACTCGGCTGGGTCCTGCTGCCGATACTGCAGGTGATTGTTTGGTTGGGATACTTGCGGGTACTTGTCTTTCTTGTCTGATAACTGCTAATGCTCGTGTTCTTTCTGCTGCAGGTATGGTGTTGGAGTGCCAGAAGCCGTCACTGTCGAAGTCAGGATCAAGATCTGGCGGGTGAGTCCAGGCGGCGAACGATACGATACCGTCGCTGTCGGCAGTACCGCGGTCGGGGACGAAGTCCAACACGAAGACGCCGGACTTCAGGAGGGCACGACCGATGAAGAGGCCGCCCTTCCCGTGGTAAAGCCGAAACTCGTTGGAGTAGGAGTCGCACTCCAGGTGAATCCCCTTGGCCATTAGTTGGCTTACGCTTAGTAGGTTGTATCCCAGATTGTCGACAATGAGCACTTTGTTGAGCTGAAGTATGACGTTTGTCTCCATGGATTGTAACTGAACCACGCCTTGTCTGTTTGTCTTCAGGTTTTCGTTGTTGGCGACGGTGATGACGACGTCGCGGTTGAGGTGTTTCTCCTGTTGCACGAAGCGTCCCGAGGAGCACATGTGTTGACCGCAGCAGCTGTCCAAGAACTAGGTGTTTCGCCCGGTGGGTTCGGCGTTGGCGACCGCAGCATATGTTGGATTGACTTGAAGGCCTTGTGAGCGCGGTGGCGGCAGCTCTTCTTCGTCTGGCGCGTAGGTGGGTGGTGATCCGGGTGCGCAGTTGTCGATGTGTACCATGCAATTGATAATGTTTGGTGTTTGTTGTGCAGATGTTGAAGAGCGCCTTGGGGGACTTGCTTGAGTGGAAGCGACTTGTGGGTCTGCTGGACGGTAAATGCGAGGGCGGTTGCAGTTGACCTTGGAGTGCCCGGAAGTCTGGCAGTTGTGGCAGAACGGCGGTACGAAGGTAAGTCCCCTGTTGTCGCGTTCTTGCTTACCGCGTCGATTGTAGGTGTTGTCGTTTCTTCGTTGAGTGTAGAAGACTAACTGCTGTTGCTTTCTTGGTTGTCTTTCTTCGAACAGGTCCATCTCCTGTTGTTCAGCGTGAAGCTCGGCGCAGAGGTGCATCTCCGAAATCCTTCCGTGGGCGCGAAGAAGCGATCGTGTGGTTCTCCATTCTGGCCCGAGCCCGGCGAGGACAAGTGTCACGAAGCTTTCTTCAGTGATTGTTCCTCCGCACCGAAGCAGGCGGTCGCGGAGGGTCTGGCAGCGACTCATATACTGCATCGCCTTTTCCCCGGTCTTCATCTGTATTGTTGTCAGTTGTTGCATGAGTCTGCTTTGTGTCACGCTGCCGTTTGCTTGGTAAAGGCACTTGAGATGGTGCCATGCGAGCTCCGCGGAGTTTCCATAGCTCCTGTATGTTCTGATGCTCTGCTGTTCTTGTGGTGACAGGTTTCTCAGGAGAACCGTATACGCCAGCAGCGACTGATACGTGAAGATTTCTTGTTCCTTTCCAGTGCCGTTGCTTGGGAATGGCAGGGACCCGTTGAAGTATCCCAGAAGATGCGCGGCCTCCATCAGCGGCTCGAACTCGAAGCTCCAGGTAAAGAAGTCGTGTCCGTTGAACGGTGAGGATGTCTGCAGTTTTATCACGTGCGAGAACTGCGCCTGGAGACTTAAGATTTCGTTTGGTGTTTGTTGTGATGCAGCTGCTGTTGGTTGGGCACGGGGCGGCATAAACTCGAACGTCCCCGGTGAAGAGTGATAGGGCGCAAAGGTAGGCGCTTGATTGTGTCGCCCAAACGATGAGTTGTCGAGGCTCATCGGCGCTAATCCCATGTTTCCTCCATTGCTTTGTGTTGAATGCGCAGGTGTCCTTGTCTGCTGCTGCTGGTCGAAGTGCGACATGAAGCTGAAGAACCTTTCCATAAGGTTGGGGTCCACGCTTGAAGAGGGAGATGGAGTCACCATCTCTGGTACTCTTCCCGTTGTTTCTTGAGCAGTCCCGGTCTCTGTCTGCAGTCCTGAGGTGTGCAGACCAGAGTTGCCGTGTTGAGTTTCTTGGCCGCTGGGTGAGCCCGTAGAGACTTTCTTGCCCTTGCTGTCCATGTCTTGTAATCAATGAAGTCGTTGAATTGAGTTGAGTTGCAGGTTGTTGGTGGGGCGTAGTTACTGGGAGTTTGGTCTCTGACCAGCTCTCATACCATATTGGGCTGAGAAAAGCCCTTAGGATCTTTTGCAGAGACTAAGTCCCAGCTGTAGAGACTTTGAGACTTTGAGTAGTGCAGCGGAAGTTGAGGCAGTTGAGCCCTTGTACTAGTATGTGAGAACAAGTGATTAATTAAAGAAACAAGCATACAGCAATATATAGAAGATAGGAGGGCAGTTGTAGAATACAGTTACAGGAACGGTTTATCGAGTCGCACAGCGACTCGATTGCCGCTTCGGTTACCATCCGTGATGTTGTAACGGTCAGTCGCAACCTCCAGTTGCGACCTTTCGAGTCTTTTCGCATTCTTTGTCCGCCCCCTCGTGTAACCTCCGTTGACTCGCGTGCTCCCCTGTAATCTTCCTTGAGTACAGTGTTACACTTCAGAAACGCTCAAGTCTTTTGAGATATTTCCAACAGCTCTGATACCATCTAAGAGTAGAATGATTAACTAGAGTGAGAGAAACAAGGTGGTTTTGTCTAGGGGGTGGTACTCTCTACAAGACTGCCCCTATCTAGCACATAACATGAACAAAATATATGTTGACAACAGAACCCATGAGAGTTCAAATCCGGCAAGTGCTAAATACGGGGGATCACGGTACCGGAATGTGCAGCGGTGGAGGCGTGCAGGCAGCGCATGATCTAGTGCAGGGGCATGGGCGGGCAGCACGAGGAAGCCCATCATCGCCTCCTCCGAGTCAAGCGAGTCAGGCGCACGTGACGTTTTCGAGGAAATTCCTGTAGGCCCATATGTGCTTATATCCAGGGGTTTGCACGTAATGCACCTTACGAATAGACCAGCTGTTTACAAGGGAAAACCCCTGTAGTAAGGGTGTTCGTGGTAGTAGAAATTACAGGAATTCAAAACTACAAGAGCTCCGGAAAAAGGTCGTCCCACCAATGGGGATCCAACAGCCCTTCTTCAGACATTTTGTCTGCTCCATTCCCACAGGCGTCTCGACCCGGGCTTGTGCTCTGGGGAGCATGGAACTGCATAGAGAAACCGCTACTCTCACTACCTTCCATACTATGCACCTTCCTAGGCTCAATCACCTCCAAAACCTCCTCTCCCATATCTGTGTGCATAACCCACTCATCTTGAGCCGTGCTGCTGCTGCCAGACCGATTGTGCTGGTCGTTTGTCTGAAAAGCTTCGTCGAGAAAGCGGGGGAAGTTGTGGGGGTGAGTAGTGTTGGGCAGGAGTGCAGCAGAGATAAGGGCCCTGCTGCACGGCTTGAGGTCGTTGACTGAGCACGGTGGTATGCATCCTCCTTGACACAGGGCTGCTCCAGCAGTGGGGGGTGTCAAGTGATACTCCCCACTGGCGTTGTCGAGAGGAATGTGTGGATTTGAAGGGGGGGCGGAAGGAGAGGGATGGAGAGAGTGGGGCAGGCGAATAGCAGGGTTCAAATGAGTAGGAGGAGGATGGGGAGCAGGAGGAGAGGTTGAGTTAGAAGAGCTGAAAGGGAAGGCTGTGGTAGGATCAACGAGAGCGGAGGGGTAGTCCTGTGACTCGCCCTGATGCTGCAGCGCCTGCTGCTCGCAACATGCGCCCTCTTGGGCTGGCTTGAGAGTCGTCTCAAAACCTTGCTCCCAATGCTGCTGCACCAGCCGCACCGACCGACACGGATCTTCTTGAGGCAAGCACTGCCGCCCTTCTATCTGTGGATGATGCAAGTCCATGCGATCTCCGTCCATCTGGGCCGTTGCTTGAAGATACGCCGTTTCCTGATGAACTGATCCACAGCATTGGAGTCCTGTTGAGCAGTAACCCCCGTGCTGCCCTTGGGTGTCGGTTGATTCGGCTTCAGGTGATTGCAACAGAGCAAGGTACCCGCCATCAGCCCCCCGTACTGCAGGGCTGCAGCACAGAAAGACTCCCGGGTGTCGGGATGTAGGAGAGATGGGGGAAGAACAAGGAAAGGAGGGGCCAGCTGCTTGGACAGTAGTGCAAGAGGAGGCAGCTTGAAGGTCCGGGTACAGAGGTGGTTGTTGCTGCTGAGAGCAGGGGTCTGAGCGGTGCCAAGGCGGACAGGAGGGGTGCGGCCAGGGGTGACGTGAGGGTGGTGGGAGAGGGGGGTGAGGGGTAGTAAGAGGGGCAGTGTGAGGAGCAGTGAGATGGGCCGGGAAGGGGGCAGTGTGAGGAGCAGTGAGAGGGGCCGGGAAGGGGGCAGTGTGAGGAGCAGTGAGAGGGGCCGGGAAGGGGGCAGTGTGAGGAGCAGTGAGAGGGGCCGGGAAGGGGGCAGTGTGAGGAGGGTGAGGGGAGCGAGGGATCACAAGGAGGGGAGGACGCTGAGGCTGCTGGCTGATACGGAGGAGAGAGGGGGAAGGGTGAGAGGGCACTTGTAGCGTCACGAGTGCCGCCTGTCGTGGCACCTGATGTGGCACCTGCATTAGCATCTGCTGTGGTAGAGTCTGTGGCACTTGCTGCTGCCGCTGCAGCTGCTGCTGCTGCTGCATAGACTGCAGCTGCTGAGTTGGGTGCTGCTGCTGCTGCTGTGGCTGCCTGTGCCGCGCTCGTTTTGGTTTAGCCCCACCACTTTCGGCGTCACCCAGCATCTGCTTCTGCTTCTGCTCGCACCAGCGCTTGGCGTGGGCAAACACCAACATGCACCAGCTGCCATGAGGGGCAAAGGGGTAGGCAACACAAGATGCAGGTTGGGAGCGATTGAGATGGGATACCGCACAAGAAAGGGCATGCAGCAGGTAATTCTGCTCTCGCCAGCACTTGGTGTTAGCAACCAACAGCATGCACCAGCTGCCATGGGGGGGGGGAGAAGCGGTAGGCCTTATGGGAGGCATGTTAGGACGACAAGAGATACAGGAAGTGGGACGGAAGAAAGGTAGAGCAGGCGAGAGGGAGGAAGGGTAGGGCAATGCAGACATTGTATGGTGATAGGGGAGAAAGGAAAAAAAAAGGCAGAAAGGCAGAATGCGGGGACCGTGACGGGGAAGTGAAAGAAAAGGAGGTTATACCTGATGGCCTTGTTGTGCTCGTCAAGAGACTTCCTGCTGTCGGCCCGATGGCTGGACGACTCAGCTGAGTGCATCTCCTCCTGCTGCCCCTGCTGCTGCCCCTGCTGCTGTGTGTGCGGCTGCCGTTGCTGCCGCTGAGCTTCTGCTGCCGTGCTGGTAGTGGCCGGAACATGAGCGGGTGACGAATCTGTTGACGACGCTGCTGACGCCAGCCCTGCACCCATGGGGCAGGAACCCCTGGGGGCATCAATTGTGGAGGAGACAGTGCTGCTGACCCGATTCTCTCCTGCCGCCGCTGCACCCTCATCACCAGCACCACTCGCGCGGACACTGGCAGGAGCATCCGGGCCATGGGCATCAGAGGTAGGGTCACCAGAGGAAGGGTTACCAGAGGAAGGGTTACCAGATGTAGGGTTACCAGCACCATCTGCAGCCTTTTCGCCAGCATCACCCGCCCCCTCTTCGGCATCCATTTCAGCAGCGGAGGCGTGCAGGCAGCGCATGATCTCGTGCACCGGCATGGGCGGCACGGGGAAGTCCATCATCGCCTCCTCCGAGTCCAGCGGGTCAAGCGGGTCAAGTGGGTCGATGCTGTCAGTCAGGCCGCAGCCACTCATGATGCTGGGGATGGTGCCCGAGCCGGGCATGCTGCTGCTGCTGGATTCGGCCTTGTTGGCGTCCTGGACGAACTTTCTGGGGGTTGGGAAAGAGAGGCGATAGGCACAGGCATGGGTGGGTGAAGAGACGAGGAATCGGATAGAGATGCTAAACGTGGGATGACCTTGGGTGATAAGTTCCAAGGATATAGGATTTATGCTCGAGCCTCAAGTCTCTTACATATACATCGATTTAGGGTCCGAAGAGTGGTATTTAAATCCGACTAGAAAAGCCTTAGGGTACATTCGAGGGCTGTGTCATCCCAACTTCCGGTAATCATTTGCCAGCATTTTGGAACCTCGGGTCTTCCGGAATGGGGCAAATGATGACCGGAAGCCCGGATGACACGAGCCCCGAATGCACCCTTAGACAAGGGTTGATGGCCGTCACGCCGGTCGACAGGACCGGGGTAGGGAAGAAGAAAAAAAAAACCGCAAGGGATGAGACAAGTTCGGAAGGACAATGCACAACAGTCCCTAGCTTTTGTGTCTACTTTCAAAGCGCTAAAAATCATAAACCCCATGGGGAAGGGGAAAGTGATTGGGGATGGCATTACCCTAATAGTAAGAGGGGACCTCTGCGTAGATTCTAACGCAGTTGGAATCATCAGTTTAATCATGAGCGAACATTCAATGCACCTAATCATTCTCCTCACCTCTTAAGGAGCAGAAATCGGTTGCAACAAGCCTTGCTGTCTCGATGTGAGCCCAGTTTCTGGCTCTGCTGAAGCAGCGCCCATTGCGATGTGCCATGGTCCAGCACGTGCTCCAGAAGGAGCTTATCCTCCTGTAAGAATGGGAAAATAAAATAAAATAAAAAGGAATCAGGACAGTCCACTTTAATGTGCCGTTTGGATAAGTACAAGCCACGAAGCATTATGAAAATAAAAAGGCTCGTGAAGGGGATTCTTAGAATGCCTAAACGTGTGCTGTAACGCGTGTCGCGAGTGCACCCTCAGGGTCGCACCTCCGAGCTCCACCTTGCCGCGTATGTCCTGCCCGTTATGTTACCACGGCTCGCCATCTCGCCTCAATTCGTTGCCCTCTCCAATATTTCTTCGCGCCGTTGTTATTCACGAGGGGTGTTCTCTCCGCCACCTCTCCGTCCCTCGTCGCCTCGGCTCCAGCGCTCCACCCGAAATGCAACCCGTTGCTCACACTCGCTACCAGCTGCGACCCCCCCAATTCTCAGTAACCAGATGCGAACGAAACGAAGGTCTGGCGTGGAAAGTGACGCGACGACAGATTTTCCAATCAGGCAATCTAAAAAGCTCCTAAGGCAGAATTCGAGGTGTCCCGTAACTCGGCAGCTGCTCAAGCTGACCCTTCCCCTGCTCCGCTTCCCCCTGCTCCACTACTCGCATATTTTCTCCTGCCACCGTAGTAGCAATGCACCCCTCGCCACTGACTTAGGGTTCACCTAATTGACGCGACTATCGGCAAACGCGCCGTGCGTTCCACTGCGAGCGAGCGTCGCACGTTGAGGTCGAATGTGGCGGCGGCGAATTTCAGCTTGACACTACTAGTACCTAGTAGAATCGCCGCCAGAATTGTGGTACCTGTTCTAGACTACTAGACGTCAGCTGCAGTTTCGTCACCAACAAAGACGGTGCAAAAAGGCGGTGGAGATGAGCGCGCTTCCTTTGAAGTAATCGTTGCAATTGCGGAGCAGTAGGGACTGTGGCAAAACCCCGATTCTTCGCGCAGCAGTAAGGGGACGCGCAAGGGATGCTCGGAGCGCAAGGGTTCAACCCTTCGAGGTTTGAGAAGGCACGCAGCGTCTCGCCGAACAATTCCGCCGAGGACAACCCGAGCGAGAGCCAAACTACTAGCAGCCTTCAAGCGAGTGAGGGTTTGAGCGCATGTGACGCAGTGCTGCCAACCGACTTCCCGCACCTGAACCGATGATCTCCCAACGACCCGAACCACGGCAAGTTCCCGCAGCTTCCAATGAAACCACCGCTGTCCAGAGATTGATTCTTCCCTCCCAGGCTAGCTCGGCGGCAACTCCCGGAAGGCGATCCTCCGAGTGGCGCGTCGCTGCGTCGTTCAAAGGAGAAATTTTTCCCCTCCGCGTGGCGTCTCTCCTGGCTGTCGGGCTCTGCTCCCAGCGACGGCTGCTGCTGACGACTCACGCGTGTTACCGGGTACTGCTGGCGCTGAAGGGGGGATGCGGGCCTGCGCCGCTGCTGCGCCGGGCCAGCGCGGATGGGGGAGACGGGGAGGACTGTGGAGATGTCCGAGATTTGTGGGGTGGCTCGAAGCGCGACTCGCATGGATCAAAAGATCTCGAAGCGGCCGAATTCGCCGCTTTTGCCTCGCAAAATGCGGCGGATTTAGATCTCCATGAACCTAAGGCGGTGAATGCCAGCCGATCGCCGGTGGATTCATGGATACGGACAGAACGTTCCGTGAGGGCTTCGGGGGGGAAGATGATTGACGGGAAGCAAGGACGAGTCTGGATCTGACGTGGACAACGCCACCTGGTCCCCGCTGATTGGCGCAATCCGCCGCTATTCTCTTTCCATTGCTGCAGGGCCGTGAATGACGAGAGCGCCGGAGGGTCCCCGTGCCCCAACCCCAAGCGGCGTCGAGCAAAAGCCACCGATGAGTGGGGTGGGGGCTTCTTGGCAAGCGGAAGGTGATTCTCTGTGCGAAATTGAGAAAGCGAGCAAGTGGATTACTCAACTTGCGCTAAGTTTACGCCTGAAGGGGGAGGAGCAGTTTCGGCAACTTTCTGCTCCTCCACGCCGGTCGCCTGTGAGCTCTGTAACCTGCTCAGTGCGCTGTTCGCTACTATTCTGTCGGTACTCCGCTCGGCTCAGAGTCGGAAGGTGAATGTATGTTGCGCGGCGGCACGAGCAAAAGCCCCTGGCGGGTGCGGGACGTCGTACAGGCTGAACGGCTCGACGGGAACAAGCAATAGTCCCTGTACGTGTGAGGGGGGAGGGCGAGTGTGAGTGAGGTGAGACCGAGGCAAGCGGCACAGAGGGAGAGGAGGGAGTGTGGAAATTGCGTGAGCCTATGAATGACTTGGATTGCTTGCGTTGCGACTGATCGGAATGGCAACAGAGAAAGCTCCAGAGCTTTCGAGCCCATGTGATGTGTCCTGGCGTGTCGTCTTGCACACGCTGTCACCTTGTGGAGCGCAATAGTAACGACTCAGATGACAATTTGCTGATCCGCTGACGAAGGTTTGATCTCTCAGCATTTGAAGTGTCAAATCGGGTTGCTTTCTTTGTCCTCGTAGACCACGCGGGGCGTAAAGCAAGCACTGCTGCCAGCTTGTGGCTTTTACGCGGCTCGTCGTGCCTCGCTAAATTTTATGGGGCGGAGACGAAATCAGCTGCACACTCACTCGCTAACCGTTTCCTCCGCTGTGTGGCGAAAGGCGACCGAGGACTCGGCGAGGCCAGCGAACAAAATCGCTAAGACTAACTGTCCACGGATTGGATGGCGGGGAAATGATATCTGTCGTTGCAAAGAGGAGGAAAGGATGTCCTCGCAGAGGAATGGAAGCATGGCCGAGGCGCGATGCAAAACCACGTCAGCGCAGGTTCCTGCCACTCACAAACGAGGCGCGCGCGGATTTTCCGTGCTGCAGTGGTGAAGGACGAGCGTCCCGATGCAATGGAAGTGCTGGAAGTAGAAAAGGTGCTCCGCTATATGCTCGCGCATTTTGCACTTCGAAGACATTGCGTGACATTATTCCAATTCATGCTCTTTGCGTGACGTATAAACATGCAACCTCTACCTTATGGCCTTGTATCTGACTAATGTCTAGATTATCTGCTTTCACAAGTAGAAAGCCTCTCTGAAACTCGCCCCTAGGGTACAATTCAAAAAATGTTTATTCCTATTGGGCTGAGAAAAGCCCTTAGGATCTTTCCAGAGACTAAGTCCCAGTTGAAGAATGAGACTTGAGTAGTGCAGCGCAAGTTGAATAGTTGAACCCTTGTACTAGTATATGAGAACAAGTGATTGATTAAAGTGAACAAGCATACAGCAATATATAGAAAGTAGAAAACAAGCAGTTGTAGAATACAGTTGAATGGCGGTTATCGAGTCGCACAGCGACTCGATTGTCGCTTCGGTTACCATCAGCGCAGTTGTAACGGTCAGTCGCAACCTCCGGTTGTGACCCTTCGAGTCCTTTCGTGTTCTTTGTCCATCCCCTCGTGTAACCTCCGTTGACTCGCGTACTCGTTACGATCTTCCTCGAGTGTGGTGTTACACTTCAGAAACGCTTAAGTCCTTGAGATATTTCCAACACTCCCCTTCGTTTCTGGAGTGCATACGTGTTCAGATCCGGTGACGTTTGTCTGCCCGGTCAGCAGCATGCAGTAGTCGAATTTTGCCTTTGCCAGTTTCTTCGTCAGGTAGTCTGCGGCCATTTCTGTTGTAGGGCAGTAACTGAGTTGAAGTCTCCCCTTCGCGATTTCATCTTTGACGAAAAAGTACCGCAGGGCAATGTGCTTAGTTCGGTTGGCGAAGCCATCCTTGTACGCGATTTTGATCGCAGATTGGTTGTCGCAGAGGAGTGAGAAGACGGGCAGGGTCGCAATCTTCGCTTCCTCGAGCAACTCTCGCAGGTAGAGTGCTTCCTTGGTCGCAGTACAGAGGGCGATATATTCTGCTTCAGCCGAAGATAGTGCGATTAGTTCCTGTTTGCTCGACTGCCAGGAGATAGTCCCGATATGTTCTAGTCGGTAGATGTAGCCCGTTCTCGATCGTCGATTTTTCCTGTCTCCCGCGTGGTCGGCGTCGACGTATCCGAGTAGTTGTACGGATGGTGTTGTTACTTTGCTGTAGGTAAGTCCGGTCGTCGGCGTAGAGACGAAGTAGAGTAGTGCCCGGTTTAGTTCTTCGAGATCTTCTTGTTCCGGCTGCTTCAGATGCGTCGCCAGCTGGCTTGCGCTGTAGGATAGGTCAGGTCGGCAGGTTACTGCTGCGAATAGTAGGCAGCTGAGCTTCTGCTGATACTCCCGGATTTGCTTCGCAGGGAGTTTTGCGGAGGTGTCGTTGTTGTTCTCGTAGCGGTAGGGAGTCGCGACTGTAGTTGGTGTTAGTCCGAACTTCTTTGCGACAACGCCTGCGTACTTTCCAGCGTATAGGTGGAACGCCGAGTTGTCTTCGACGACATTCAGACCCAGATACTGGGTTACTGTGTCGGACACCGTGAGTGTCAATTCCTCTTTCAGCTCCCCTTCGAACCAGGTGGCGATGTCGGTAGTGGAACCGATGTAGAGCAGGTCGTCGACGTAAACGATGAGTAGGATATACTCTCTTCCCTTCTGCAGTCGGTACATGCCTTGGTCATGCGGCAGCTGTAGGAATCCGATTCTGACGAGGCGACTGTGAAGATGCTGCTGCCAGAGCCGCGGGGCTTGCTTGATCCCGTAAAGGGATTTTATCAGCTGGCATACTTTTGTGGGGTCGTCGATGAATCCGTGGGGCTGCTCGATGAAGATTTCGGCGTCCACAGGTGCGTACAGGAAGGCATTTGCGACGTCGATCTGGCGCAGTGGTAGTTTCTTTGTGGCCGCGACGGCGAGTAGGATGCGCAAGGAGGTGTGACGAGAGACTGGGGCGAATGTTTCTGTGTAGTCGGTTCCGTATCGTTGATCAAATCCTCGTACGACCCAGCGAGCCTTGAATCGTTCGATGGAGCCGTCCGCATTGGTTTTGATGCGGTACACCCATTTTCTCGAGAGAACGTTCTTCCTGTTGACGTTCGTTGCGGGTACCAGCTTCCATGTATTTCGGTCTTGCAGAGCTTTCAGTTCCTTTTCCATTGCCTCCTTCCATTTCGCCTTATGTTCCCTCCCCAGAGCCTGCGACAGAGTCGTTGGCTCGCGCGGAGATGGCGGCGGCGGGTGCTGGACGGAGACCCATAAGCCGAGGATTTGCAGTCCCGTGGGTGTGTGTCGAGGGGAATTTTCATTCCCGGAATAGGCTGCTTCGTCACCATCTTCTGGGTGAGGTAAGAAGTTGGGGCCGATGCGTTCTGAGATATTCGTGCCGACCGGGTGAGGTGTAGCGTAACCTTGGTCAGCGAAGTGGTAGAGGGTGTCGAGGTTGTTGCTATCGAGAGGATTGTCTTCGTCGAGTGGAACAGGTACGGAACAGAAAGGGAGTGGTCCGGCAGCTTCCGAGGCTCCAGGTACGTCTTCTTCTGCTGCGTCAGCCTCGGCAGCATGGTCAGCGAAGGAACGAAGGCCCGCAAGGCCGTCGGTGGGGTCGTGTGTGTTGGCAATGTTGTCCAGGTAATGCTGCAGTGTCAGTCGCTCGTAGAAGATAACATCACGTGATGCCACCGTATTTTTGTCTTGTATGTCGAGGATTTTCCATGTGTGAAAATTTTTGGCGATGCCGAGGTGTAGTCCCCACCGAGCTCGTTGAGTGAAGCATCCTGCTCAGGCTGTGTGGGGTCTGTACTGTACCATGCAGCCGAAAACTCGAAGTAATTTTGTGCTGTCCCTTTTTCGTGTCCACAACAGGTGCGGTGATGCGTTATTGGGAAGCGATAACGATGACAACAGATTGTGCAGGTGGACTGCATGTGTCATCGCGTCTGGCCACAGTGTGTTGGGCAGTCTCATCCCCAGGAGCAGCTTTCGCATCGTCGTCTGCAAGGTCCGATTCATTCGTTCTGCGACCCCCTGCTGCTGGTGAGCGTAGGGCAGAGACACCAAGCGTCTTATTCCTCTTTCCGCCAAGTAGGTCTTGAAGCGTTGTGACTGGTATTCCAGTGCGCCGTCTGACTGGAAGCTTTCGAGCTTCGTTCCTGATTCTCGTTCAGCGATGGGAAGCCACGTCTTGAAGGCTTTGAAGGCTTGGTCTCTCGTTTTGAGGTTGTAGTGCCAGACATATCTTGTTGCTGCATCGATGAACGTTATGACATAGTTGAAGTCGGCTTCGGTGTCGTCTCGAGGCATGTTTAAGATGTCGTTGTAAACCTTTTCCATCGGTGCATATGCAGGTGCACTTGGATTGTGATGGGATGGGAAAGGTTGATGGGGAAGATCTGCTTCGGGGCACGTGAAGCACCGTGCGCGAGGTCTTCGAAGTTCTTGGCCGTTCGTTGTAAGAAGAGCGTTTCGTTCTAACACCTCGGCTTGGATGGTTTGGAGTATCGTGCTGTTTGCAGGATGCCCAAGGCGTTGGTGCCAGATGTCGTCGGAAGCACGATGGCCGGGCGAGCGTTGGTACATGTCGGTGTTGGAGAAGAACGCGACGACCGTGGCGGGACTTCGGCAGACTTCTCGTGTGATTGGCATAAGTTGATCTGCTTCGGTTGGTGGTCCTCAGATCGCTGGTGGTGGTACTCGGCTGGGTCCTGCTGCTGCTACTGCAGGTGGTGGTTGGGAAGGGACGCTTGCTGGTACTTGTCTTTCTTGTCTGATGACTGCTAACGCTCTTGTTCGCTCTGCTGCAGGTATGGTGTTGGAGTACCAGAATCCATCGGGATTGAAGTCGGGGTCAAGATCCGGCGGGTGTGTCCAGGCGGCGAACGACACGATGCCATCGCTGTCGGCAGTACCGCGGTCGGGGACGAAGTCCAACACGAAGACGCCGGACTTCAGGAGAGCACGACCGATGAAGAGGCCGCCCCTCCCGTGGTAAAGGCGAAACTCGTTGGAGTCCGAGTCGCACTCCAGGTGAATCCCTTTTGCCATTAGCTGGCTGACGCTTAGCAGATTGTATCCCAAGTTGTCGACGATTAGAACCTTGTTGAGTTGCAGGATG